CTTATATACATCTCTGGTGAGGTCAAGACTGGAAAACTGCATCCAGGCCGCCATCCCTTGTCTAAAAGGGGACTCACACATTCTAGAAAGGGTTCTAAGGAAGGCAACACGTATGATTCATGGCATGACTAACTTATCGTACGAGGAAAGACTAGACAGTTTAAATCTCCTCTCCCTGCCATACCGTAGGCAGAGAGGAGATTTAATCACAATGTTTAAAATTTTAAATAATGACTACGGACATGACCTGTTCTTTCTTTTCCTTCCCACCAGGTCGGAACACCTTAGAGGACATAGAAGGAGAGTTCAAAAGCCAAGAAGAAATCATATTGCTGTTGAGTACTGGTTCTCACACCGAGTCATAAACTCTTGGAACCGACTCCCAGAAGAAGTGGTGTCTGCAACCTCAGCTGATTCGTTCAAGAAGGGTTTGGACAACCACAGAAATTTACCAGAAAAGGATTAACACAGGCTCCAAGCCTTCTATCCTCAACCAATAAATCTGAAATAAATCTGAAATATGTAAAATGATATTTGATATTTGACACAGTTTACCTGGTATTGTACACGAGTAATTTCACCTCTATCAAATGATTAATACATTCTTGTCCTGTAGGTAATATTTTATGTACATTTAGCCCACCTCAGACACACGCTTCTCACCTTGCCGCGCGCGCTCCGAAAAGGAGAGTGGCATTTTTTACGTTGTGAAGTAACTTCTGCTTTTGTTGTGTAAATCGCATCAGAAGCTTTTTGGTTTACTTTAACTGGTTTAATTAGTTGAAGTAGTGTCTATTTTGTGCACTTTTGTGACTTTTTGTGTTTTTATATCTCTGTATTTAGGTATATATTTGTATACATATTTGTGTGTAACTTAAACAGCTTATACTGACATGAGACCCACAAATAGTTGTGGACGACCGGACTGCCACTTTCCGGTGGAGGATGGGATGCAGTGTGATAACTGCAACCTATGGTTCCATAAAGTTTGCACTGGCTTATCACCACCAGCCTATAGGGGAAGCAGCAAGCCGTCATCTCCTTGGATGTGCAAATTTTGTGCAAACCCGTTGGATGTCCTCATCCAAGAGGCCGTAGGACTTCTCATGTCCAAGAATTTACCAAAAACCTCTGATGAGGGGAAAAATGGAGCAACCAGTACAGATGTTATAAACGAGGATTCTGGCCTTAGTCATAAAACTGAGGCAGAACCACATCCCCTAGCTTCGAAAGAAGCAACAGAGGTAAAGTGTGCCCAGCAGTCTGCAATAGCACGCAAAAAGCCCCGAAAACCTGGGAGGGCAAACAGTGCCAATATTGTAGGACAGCAGGGTGATACCACAGCGATGAAGCGTTGCGTGTCTGGTGAACGCACAGCTTCCAACTGCGGCGAGAGTAAAGTGGAACCATCTGATTCCACCTGGTTAGTGCCGAAGAGTAGGAAGCTCAAGAATCACAGGAAAGAGAAAAGTACTGTGGTTAGTGATAAGGTCTCAACGGCCGTAAACACTGACAAGATTAAGCCTTCGGACTCAAATTACAGTATAGTAATTTCGAATTTGGAAGAATCGAAGAAGGTAGATCCAGCTGCTCGACATGCTGACGATCTCGAAATCCGTGAAATACTTCCGGAAAAAACAAATGGTGTTCACATAAGGAAAGTCATCAGAATCGGTAAACGAATCGCCGATGCAACGGAAAGTTCACCACGACTGCTGAAGGTAGTGCTGGGGGACGAGATGGAGAAAACTATTATTCTCAACAATGCATTCAAGATCAAGAATAAAAAATAATAAATAGGCCAAACTGACCTCTGGAAGATAGAATTAGGAGAAGAGAAGCTGTGGCTGAATTAAAGGCCCGATTAGAAAAAGGTGAAAAATACCTCAAACTGTTGGGTTTTCGGGTAGTGAGGTCTCGGAAACCTATGTTACCCAGACCTCTGTTCATAAGTCGAGTGAACACATAGGTCTCTCAGTATGCTACACAAACGCTTGTAGTCTTAGGAATAAGCTTCCAGAACTACGAGTGTTGACTGAGGAACTACAGACGGATGTGATTGCTATCACCGAAACATGGTTGCTAGTGGGTGTGGACTTAACTCCACTCATACCTGGGTACATCTGCATTAGAGCAGACAGAGTAAGTAATCGGAAAGGTGGAGGGTTGCTCTATACATACGGGATGACGTAGGAATTAGATCAACGTTTTCGGAAGCTCCTGACAGCGGCACCAATGAAGACGCAAGTTGTGTCATTAACTTGAACAAGGGCACTGTGACAATTGGGGTTAATTATAGAAGTCCTGCCAGCCAAGCCGAAGATTTCGTCCTAAATCACCTCAGGACGTGGAGTAATGGAAACAGATGTCTAATAGTAGGTGACTTTAATGCCCCACATATTAACTGGGAGGAATTAACACCAACTACTTCGTACACTCGTTTCAACAGGGAACCCATACTGGCAGCACTTGAATGAGCACTTGTGCAGCATATAGATGCACCAACACGATACCACCCTGAACATAATCCATCCGTTCTAGACTTGGTGCTAACACACCAGAAGGAGGATGTTGGTGACTTAAGATGCCTAGGCAGTAGTGACCATATAGTTATCACTTTTATGTTTAGGATCCAGGCCGTCATACATAGGTCAACAGCCGCTCAACCAAACGCTTGGAAAGCGAATATACCTGCAATCCGAAATGCAGCAACCCTAGCTGACTGATCTGTTAACACACACCAGACTGTCGAGGAGACTTGGATGGGATTTAGGAATACACTAGATTGTGTCACTGCACCCTTTGTACCTTGGTCTACGCCCCGAGAACTATCTCATAAACCACCTTGGATTAGTAATGAAATAAGGAGGTTACTAAGAAAACTAAAGAACTTATGGGACCGGTTTGCTGTGACTGGGAGGGATGAGTTTCGGGTAGAATATCTAAAAGTTCGAAACCTTTGCAAGTATGAGATTGACAAATGTCGTATAGAGTATTATTTTTTTTTTGGTTACAGGTTGATTCCACACCGTATTTTCAATACAAGTATGGAATTTTCAGCATGGATATCGGTAGCCCAAATTTTGCAGGCCGACCATAGATATCGGGTGTGCGTCGGCAGGGGATCGAACCTCGGACCATGTGCATGGTCGGCGAGAGTCATAACCACTGTGCCACCGACGCACAGAGAGATAGTTAGTACTGGATTGTGTGCATTATCCAAAAAGACTGTTCTCGTATATCAAACGCAGGACTACAACAAGCAGTGGCATACTGTCCCTCATTAGCAACACTGGAGAGGCTGCCGAGTCAGACGAAACAAAAGCTGAGAAGCTCTCCGAATACTTTTGTGATGTTTTCTCGCCCAATCGTACCACTCAGGGGTGTAGCGAGGTCATTGATGTAGCCACTAAAGTGCCCACAATTGCAGTAGAGGATGCAGTGGTTCTCAAACTACTATCTAGGCTGAAGCCAAGTAAATCACCTGGACCAGACGAACTTCACCCTAGATTCCTAATCTCCTTGGCGGATATGATATACATTTCACTTACGGAGATTTTTCAAATGTCTCTGACCCAGGCTAGGCTACCCAGGGACTGGAAAGATGCTTTTATAAGCCCCATCTTCAAAGATGGGAACAGGCAGTTAGTATCTAACTACCGGCCTGTAAGTCTGACCTGCATTATAGCAAAGGTGTTAGAAAAACTCATAAGAGGCCAGCTGTTAGCTCATATGGAAAAACATGGCTTACTGGCAGTGGAACAGCATAGATTCCGACCAGGACGATCCTGCTTGTGAAACTTACTGTTAGACAGGGAAGATTAGGTCGAGGCCAGGGATAAAAACCATCTACTAGACGTTGTATTTATCGATCTTAGTAAAGCATTCGATAAGGTATCCCACTTAGGTCTTCTTAGTAAACTTAAACGTTTTGTATTAGACCACCGCTTATGTGAGTGGTTTAGTGACTACCTGATGGATAGGAGGCAGAAGGTAAGGGTTAATGGTGTACTGTCAGGGTGAAAAGCACTACTAAGTGGAGTACTTGGCCCCCTGCTATTCCTAGTATGCTCAAATGAAGTGCCAAAAATTCTTACCTCATCTTCCTTACTATTTGCGGACGATATTTAGATATGGAAAACTGTAAGTAGTAACGATGACAGGTTGGTACTACAAAACGATCTAGATAAATTGGCCGAATGGGCTAACCTTTGGAATCTGGAAATTAATTCCAAGGAAAGCGCGGCAATGCACCTAGGTCAGAAGTCTTACACGTCGTACTCCATTGGGGACACAGAACTGCAGATGTTGGGGTACAAAAGGACTTAGGAATTATTGCAAGCCATGACTTAAAAACAACGGTCAATTGTAATCGAGCCGCAGCTAAGGCTTTTCGAATGCTATAGGCACTTCGAAGGGCTTTCAAACGAGTAGACGAGGGTACGTTCCAAGTACCCTATGCAACATATGTCAGACCTCATCTAGAGTACTGCATACAAGCAGCGAGTTTATGCTTCAAAAAGGAGGCACATATCCTGGAAAGAGTACAGAGGGTAGGAACAAAATTAGTTAGTGGTATCTCACACCTTCCTTATGATAAGAGGATGGAGCATTTAAATCTCTTCCCATTATCATACCGAAGGAGGAGAGGTGGCTTAATTTTGGCTTACCGTATATTCAAGGGTGATTTAGGGATTGACCTCTCAAACCTTTTCTCTCCCTCTAGGATACATTTAAGGGGTCACCAGAAGAAGGTGCTCAAACAAAGGTCGAATAAAATACGTTTGGAGTTTAGATTCCCTCACAGAGTGTTCAACGACTGGAACTCCTTACCTGATTCAGTAGTAACAGCTCCATCGGTGAACGCTTTCAAAGACAAACTGGATCTCTGCAGAGATATATATCGCGAGAATTAACATAGGCAACAAGAGCCTTCTATCCTTATAATCTGAATCTAAATCTAAATCATTAATGTGTGCTGAACATTCAGAGTTAGGCGGGTAAAATTTTGTTTGCGCTACATTTAGGCGTGAAAATTATATATCGTTTAACTTGATGTAGGTACGCCGGATTTTATCTTCTCTAAAAACTGCAACTACTTGGACTTATCAACCTGTTGAATGATAATTTCATTTAGTAGTTATATAGTAATATCTGAGGGTTTTGGCTGCAAATTTTGCCCTGCAAAATGTAGGGGTTTTTTGTTACTACTTGGGAGTTTCGGGGTAATCCAAAGGTTTTCCTCAAAATTTTCACGGCACCTTGCACCAAAATCGCCACCAATCGCTCTTTTAGGACTTTAAGGTTTGCTAAGATGGGTGTAACGTAATTTTAACGAAAGTACTGGGTGACATAATGAATAGTCTTCATGGGATATTAGTTAATTAAACCCCTAAAAGAAACTCACTAGATTGAAAAGTTTTTGTCTGACATCTGGAGTACCCAAGAGTAGATGATGGAATTATGCGTGACAAATGAGAAAACAACGGAGCATGTTAATCGAAGAGTTCTAGTAAAATCGAAAAGTTTCCTACACTTTTCCTTAGGCTTCCCTCTCCCAGAAAATCATAACTTTCTCACTTTCGTTATTCTCATAGTCATATCCTTTTGATTGGGTATATTTCGTCAAAGTACTGTTTGCACCTCGCAATGTAAAGTGAAATTATGTAAATTTCTGGCATCTGTGAACTACTATTAAATACCAGAAGCTTTTCCCTCCTATCATTTTATTGAATTTATGAGATAAATGTGCACTTAATCTCCAGGTTATAGTTATTCTGAACCATTTACTGAAGTTTCTAGATTCATTCATTACATTGGCTAACAGTTCGAAGAAGCTTTCAGGAAGCAAGAGAGCTTTATTTATCTATAGTGTTTGATTATTCTCATGTACTTGGTTTGAAAAATGAAGTATTATGTAGCCACTAACGTTAACAATCTGTCGGTTGTAATCCTGATTATAAAAGAAAGATGAAAGACATTACATATATAGCAAATAACCTTGTATTTTACGTTGCACGCGTACTTGTCCCGTGAAATCTATTTAACGTAGTAAAATATATATTAGTAAGACGAACTATATAAAGTAAAATTGCAAATGTACTCAGGCTTTTACGCAACATAAGTAAACAAAACTAAGTTCCCTCACTGACGCATTATTCATCAAAGTCGTCAATGTCTAACAAATCGCAAATATTATTATACAAGCACACATTTTGGAACAGGCTTCGTTGACCAGAAGACTGTATGAGTAGCACTTCATTTTATTTTACTGAGTAGTTTTCAGACGATAACTATTTAGAAAGTAAGTGGTATCGTTAACTCGGCAACTGTGCTTCGCGGAATCCATGAGAAAATGTAAAATGAGTGTCCAACATGTGCTGCTATACACTAGTGTGTTCAACTAATTAAACTAATTGTAGCTGTATCTCATGTCCGGTCCATCACTATATAATAGAAGTATTATTTAGAAGCTATAATCGATTCCGCACCACACCTTTTGGCGGATGCATTTGCTAATGATAATAGGTAAAAATTTTACTCACACTAAAGTGCATCAAATGTGAAAATCTCACTCAAGGGACAGTTAGTGTTTGGCAGTCGCATTGGTGTTCCATAAAGCATATGCCGCATTGCCAGCTTCGGTTCCAAAACTAGATTAAGCATACCTTGGGGGCGTTATCATCCTACCAATCATTGTGGTCAGTAATGGATTTCAACTTACTATTAAGTGTTGGAACTTTGTGTTTCTTAATGACATTTGGTAAACGTCAATTTGGATATCTTCCTTAAAGAAATGCTAAACTATCTGATTCGCACATCTTCAGTACTTTCATATAGACTACCGTTTCAGTGGTTAAACTGAGATACTTTTCTAGTAAGCACTTAAATCCGTAGGCAACTCGTACTTACCGAACGTACATATTTCCCGCACTTCTTCCTTGTAAGTTGACCTACGAATATCCATCTTGACATTAAAAGCTTAGATATTCATTTTTGACTGTTATGTTGAGTAACTATGGAGCATACTGGAGGATCCTCAATGATAATTAATATTAGCCTGGCTGTAGCTAGGATGGCACTGTGTAGAAGTGATGTTCGGACAGAAGGACCAATAACTTCTCGAATAAGCCCTCACTGCATTCACTATAGTGAAATCATAGAGTTATTGTGCATTCTCATAACAGTCTTCCCACTGTTAAATTTCGATCTACATTTACTTCACGTTTACGTCCAATATCATCAAGTCATAGGGTGTCTTTGCTAGGAGCTCTCCCTCAATGTGTGGCCTCATGGTATTTTAGCAGTATGGACAAGTCTGTTTACAAAATTGTTCCTATGAAAACAGTTAGCGCTACTGAATTACTACATTTCATAATCATAAGTTATGACAGTAACATCCAATGAGTACTCGCTTCAATTTCGCCTATACGTGTAAAAATTAAGGTTATTCATCCAACTATGTGCACCTTTCCACGCTTCTTTTTAACTCTTTCAACGAAGACTAATAAATTCCTGACCAAAAGCATGCATATATTCAGTTAGCGACAATAAACAGGCCACCGCACTTTACATGTTGACCACTGGAAACAGTTATATCGCAAATGCAATGCAAACTGTACCTTACCACAATATACGTAAGCAGATGTTCACTTGCATATCCACTGCACTCTAAGAGACATGTGTGAGGTGATGGTATTATTTATTTTCGCTGTTAGTAAAGATACATTTAAATCAGTTATGTTGACTAGTGCACACAGTATCTCAGCAAACAGTGCACTATTAACATATCCCTGTTTTGGGTTTAAACTGTTATTCATAAATGTCTACAGTCTTCATGTAAGACATTTAGTAAAGTACTATCTTTGGTCATTATTATGAGTTCCAGTTCACTGCAGGTTATGACTTCTTTATCCAGAGGATTAGACTTAAATACATTCTCAGAAGTACAATATTTTTATTAGTGTGTCACCCACCGACCTTTGATGACATTCCGTCGCCTTCTGAATATCAATTTCAAGCATAACTTCGCATTCCCCTGAAGGTCTGTGAATTCTAAACTTTAGCATACGTTAATCTTCCTTTTGACTGTGTTCAGCGAAATTGGAAGCGAGTCATGCAAGTCAATGCATATTGAATTCTGGAGAAGAGTATTGGGGATACAATTAAAATTGTCAAATTTATAGACGTACTAGGAATAAAAAGGAGATCCCGAATAACAATGATTGTAGCAGGCATAAATGCAAAATATATTGCCTTATAAACATTTTGAAATGTACCTTGGGTGTGGTCGAGGTATTTGGATGGCATAGTTTGCTGAAGTCAGAATTATGATCATAGACAGAATTGAATGCAAACTGGTTCATTTATGCAGAAAAAAGAATAAGTTGTTTCTGGAGGATAACAAAATAAAAGGTGGTTGTTTTGTCGCACCATATCTAATGAGGAATTGAAGGAGGTCAGAGGGACTCCAGGAACGAATAGTGACGTATTTAGAACATAATGTGTTCAAGGATGCTCCACCGTTGTTATACGTAAAGCAGATGTCTGAAACTCCCACATACTATTCATAAAACTGAAGTCTGGTTAATATTTAAACCGATAAACGTGAAGGGAACTTAATTGGGTTGCTAAAATAATTCATCAGAAATCGTACAACCATTGTGAGCTGAAGTAGATGGGTCACTGGAAATATCCGTAAGCAGGATTTCAGTTTGATGTAGATTATAGAAAGATGAGTAGCTTGCAAAAAATTCCACTCCAGAGTAAACATGCTACGTCTAGTAAAATGAAAGAGTAGGTTGATAACTTAATTGATATATTTCAGGAAACTTTGTAGATTATTGCATATTTCATATATTCGTATTATTTTCAACTGACAGAAACTATTTAATATTTGCCAAGATGGTACTACTTCTCTACTAGTGCGTTGGTGGCACAGCGGTTAGGACGGTCGCCGACCATGCACCCGGTCCGGAGTTCGATCTCCGGCCGACACATCTGATATCAATCGTCTGCCTGCTAAATTTGGGCTACCGATATCACGTGCTGAAAATTCCATAGTTGTACCAAAAGTACTGTGTGGAATCAAGTTATAATAAAATTAAATAAATAAACTAGTAGTTCGTTTCTCATTCGCCTGATCAATGAAATTGCATATGCATTTTACATGTAGAAATAGTCTTGGTTCGTAGAAACGGTTTAAAAACTATTACATAACTTGTTCTCATATAATTCCATAGCAGTCAGTTCTATTACATTTCCTGAATAATTTTCCAGTTTAGCAAATGTTATTTACATTGATTAACCGCATCGCTCCATAATCTTTTTTCCAATATTAGAAACTTAAACATTTCATCTGTTTTCATGGACTCAAAACGTCCTAAACTATGCACATCAGAAGCTGATAATTTGAAGTCTGAAACAGATGTGCTTAAACCCGAAGAAGTTGGAATTACGGCTTATGTACGACCATCGGTCAAAGGTTTCGAAGCAGTATTGAAAAACAGGTACACTTTTTTCTTGCTGTTTGTACATTTCTATAGATGGGAAGATTTCATCGTTCGGGAATTTAAAGGTTGCACATATGCCAGATTGACAAATTTAGAGCCTATTCCAGATCCTGTTCCAGAGGTATATTCTGAGAGCTTAAATTTATTTCTTAGGCTATTGATTTTAATATAGAGGAAAAACTGGGCGATCACTTATCTGAACTTCAAAGTTTAGATCATGGTGATATTGAAAAATTAAAAATCAAAGTACGCCAGTTATAATACCTAATGATTTATAAGCCAGGCCCCTGATAATAAAACGGATAGGACGCAAATTCATGAGGCGGTACGTAAATTATTCCCATCCTTGGAAAGCACCACAGTAAAAGAAGATGATCAAAATGTGATTGTTGTATTTAGGAAAAATCATCCAGAAGGTCAGTATCTAAAGCAATAACTGTTATCACCATTATATTTAGCTAAAAATTCACGAAGATCCAGAGGAAACGCCAAAGGCATGAATAAAAGCACGCCCTATTGTCGCTTTGTATTGTACAAAGAGGGTAAAGACACTCTTAGTGCTATTCAACTGCTGAGTCGTTTCCTTCAGTATGTTTACTCTAGTTACTCCTTTTTGATTTTGAAGTGTTGGGCCTGGTATGTTTACGTATGCTGGTACTAAAGATCGTCGAGCGATCACTACACAATTTGTTACAGTAAAGGGGTATTCACTTGTTTTTAATTAACCAGTTTTGTATGTAGCATCAATTCAAAAACTCTGTCTTCACTTAACAGTCGACTATACGGGTTACGTGTAGGGAATTTTTCATATGTTTCGTCTCCTCTTTTCTTGGGAGATTTGGATGGAAATCAATTTGTGGTTGTGTTGAGGTTAGTTTATCAACTTTGTAATGAATTACCATTTATAGGTCAGTAAATGCAATAAAAACAGTTGTTCAAGACGCAGTTGAAGCGTGGAAATGTACTGGTTTCTTGAACTATTATGGTCTACAGAGGTTTGGGCATTCTTCACAGTCAAGAAGTTTTGAAATTGGAAAGTATGTCATGTTTATTTACTCTGTAGGATATTATATCACTATATATTCTACCAAACATCTGACTGAATTGGGTACTTCCTATGTTTTACTTCAAAAGACTAAAACTCCAATCTAATTTTATTTTCCTGTTTTACTTTTTCCAAGTGATTGAACTTGACTAAATAGACCCTTAGCTTAAAGATAGGAAGTGAAGTGGTAGAGCGTGTTGATCATTTCGCATATTTAGGAAGTTGCATCAGCCACAGCGGGTTGATGGCTGACGAAATCTCAGCACGGATACCCAAGGCCCGTTTGACATACGCCAACTTACGCCATCTTTGGCGTAGACGTGATATCCTACTGTCGACCAAAGAACGTATATAGTGCTCAGCAGTTCGCTCCGTCCTCCTTTATGACTGACTGTTAGACATGGCCACTGAAAGTGGAAGACATGAAAAGGCCGGCTAGCTGTCTTTGATAATAGGTGTCTGCGTCCTGTCTTCCATGATAGTTGGCATAACAGAGTGAGCAATATTGAGGTTAGACGTTGAGTGCTAGGTAGGGAGGGTAAGTCAACAGACGAAGTTGTGAAGCGTCAATTCAGATGGTTATGACATGTGTTACGCATGCACGCCTAGCCACCGCCTTCCTGGACTACGTGCATTGTTAGTCGGCTGACAAAGGAGGGATGAGGTTGGAAAAGTGAGTAGTGTGGTCATATCAACAGATGGCTTCATCAGTCAGTGAAATCCATGACAGTTAGTTTGAGTCAGCCACGTTGGGAGGGAGGTGTAGACTGCTGTGTAGTTGGGGTGCTCGAGATGCTAAGAACCAATGACAGCTAGAGACAGTTGGTGATATGGCTGTCTCAGAATCGTTCTCAGTGGCTGGTGCAGGTGCATCCACTCTTTGTGATTGGTGATATCTAGTAAAAATCTACTGTTATCCCACATTACTCTTCTTTTTCCTTCACTCACGCTTCTGTTTTTTATCTGTCTTTTAAACCTCCTTTTACTGTATTCTCTTGCATTATGTGCTACAAGGCTGGTGTGGTAAGTTGAACTGCTGCACATCTGTGCGAATTTTGACTTTGAAACCAGTCAGTCAGTCAGTCACATGATTAGAATTCTGTCAGACCTTGCTGACACATGTTTATATTTCTCAAGCCATGTAGTTTCGTAGGTCGAACAGGTGGGTTAACCTAGTACATAGGTTCAACTGAGATCCAGCTGTACAGTGTGTTTCCCGCTATTGGACTATCTCCTTCAAAGAAAACTGGCCAAAGAATTTCCTAGCACCAGTAGGTTTAATTTTACAGACTGCCCATGTTAGCTAAATTTGGTTATGGGAGTGGTAATACTTGGGTCGTGTGTGTGTGTGTGTGTTTCAGAGGTACAACATACATTCAAAGCTAGGTGTGTCAAAATTTAGACTAGTGATGTCTATTCTTGAGTTTGACATAGAATTTGAACGTTAAAAGCACCAATGTGAAGTGAGCAGAGTACTTTTAAGAGACCAAGAACAACGTTTCCCTGTCATACTTCTTTAGCATAGTACACTTAGTCAAAAGAAACTAAACTGTGAAATTGTATTAACATTGGGAGGCAGGGGTGTTGGCAGTTGAGACTGCACAGTTGCCCATATGGAAACAGCTTTCTTCAAATATCTTAAAGTCAAAAAGAATCAGTGTTTTGATATCTTAGAGGCCAACCTGTTCGGAGGTGGAATTTGTGAAGTTCTAGCTGTATGGAAAAGTTTATTGTCAGCTACAAATCACCGTGGGGAAAGCCCGAAGTGTACTATTTCTGGGACTAACCTTTTCTAACTACTGCTCTCCAAAAAACAGAAGGCAGCAGAGTTGGTTTTAAGATCTCTCTTGAGGAAAATATTTCACAGGTTCCACACCTCTATCCATCAGCAGTACAACTTCGCCGTCAGACACTCATCATAGTGTGAACAACTTACAGCATGATGGTGTCTGTTCTTGGTTTAGTTGTTGTCTGATCTACGTATTCGATATGGTAGGACCATCAAAAAACATCCTTCAGACTTGTGTGACCAGGTGTATCACTGCGAAGTACAATCTCGACCATCGTGTCAAGTTAGTTATTGCTTATGGTAGATTGATCATTGTATTTCAGCCAATCATTTTGTACTAACTGTATCATTGTTTCTAATTGTATTCAGATATCTCATTCGTTCCGACTGGGTGAATGCCATTGATCTAATCTTGAAACCAACTTCTGCAGGTAATATCCACACTTATTTAGAATAACTTCATAGATTTGCCCTTCCTTCGAGAAATTAAGGAAAAATACTTAAAATCTGGTGATGCTAATGGGTGTGCTGAAGAGTGTCCATTGAGCATAGAAAAATCTCTGTTATTCGGTATTGCAAAGTATGGCAAAACCCTCAATGCTCTACAGATGGTAAGTCTATTAACTCTGTGATTGGAGTGCATACACACACACACAAAATTGTTTTGTTCTAATCGGTTTTTATTATTACTGCATTTTGAGTGATGATGACAGGCTAACCATATATGCTCACATTATAGGATTTGGCATAACTATGTTCTAGCTTTTATTTCACATAATCTCGTTGGAGTAGATGTTATTAACATGAAACCGCACTGTCTATCTTTTAACGTTTCCAAAGTTATAGATGTTTTCATTTGAATAATAGTGATATTTTCAGGAATTTTTTAGTTGGTCACTTGAAGCTAGAATAAAACTTTGATACCATTGCAAATTGACGGTTACACAAACCTCTAAAAAGTGGTTTGTCAACTGACCATTTTTCGTTTACTTAATTCAACGTATTTTTTTTCCTTCACGTTCCCCAGTGTAACATAAGGCTTCAAGCTAGTGGCTTGAAGTTTCTGTAGCAGAGTTTATTTTACAGGATGGGGTTGCTAGCCTCATGCCCAAACTTTCCTCTTCACCAGCATTATTTTTGGCTTAGAGATGTAAAGGAGTGGGTCGGCCGGGGATCGAACCCCGGGACCATGTGCATGGTCGGCGAGCGTCCTAACCGCTATGCCACCGACGCATAATTCAACGTATTAGATAGGTTTATTTAAGATAGTATACAGCGGAACAGTATTATTAACTGAATACAATGTGAAATTATGTTCAGCACAATACTCAGGTTTCACTCTTATATTAACAGACAGGATAGTCGCAAAAATATGCCTCAAGTTGATACTCAGTATTTCTCTCCATTACTGAATGTTTGTTTTGTAATTCTCTTAGTTGACCAACTGGAGTTAGTGCTTTAAATCAAGAAACCAGTTTTATTGTGTCCTATAAAGTTATAACCTACGAATTTGAATTCCAATCAGTAGGTCCCTGGTTCAAATCCCGCTCCACCTACTGAAGCTTAGGCAACTGGGTAGTATCATCAGTCTTATCACAATAAATGTGGCTCACAGTTTGGCGCATTTCATTTCGCATGAAAATCGATAACTAGAGGACAAATTTATAATGCTGAATTCCTGAGAAGTTTAACTTAAGAGAGGGATGTGTTTTTTTGATAGTTCTTTTAACCGAAGTGAATTAACAATGTAGAATTCTGCACAAAGTGCATTGGTTAAAGTTGCTGCACTTCGGAAAAACTGACTGACTGATCGAATTCCAACACAGAACTTCTCACAGAAGTGCAGCACTTCACGCTGCCACATTCCATGCAGCACACACACAAAGATAGAGAAAGAAAAGAAAAACCAGATTGAGATTAGCGATAGTGAGCAGAAATGTGCGGAAGAAAAAATAGTAACAGAGGGAAACATGAAGATACAATGGATCTGCGAGATTGAATAGAGTGAATACATCTGCGATTCTTTTGAGCCATATCAACAACAGTCTCCAGCCTTCTGTTTTTAATATCCTGAGGTCCCCAACCAGGCAGTCTACACCTCCCCATGTGGCTGGTTCAGTTAAACTATCAATGACCTTATAGATTGATGCCAGGATGTAAATTGACCAATTCACAATCCATTTTTCGACCAAGAAGGCAGTGGCTTGGCATGCTCATCACTTGTCCTAGCTATCTTAATCGGTAAACCTCGCAACCTCATCGATTGATTTCCCTTCCTCACCTAGTACTCTACTGTTAACCTCAATATTACCATATTATACCATTTAACACGGAAGAACATAAAATTATGAGAAGAAGATGTAACGAAGCTACAATCGTCAAGAATATACGAAAGAAAGAACATGTAGGTGGAAATGAATGAGAATTTCCGAAATTTGCAAGATGATAAGGAGTGAGCACATCAAAAGTTTTTGAGCCGTATCATCAAGTGTGCACTCATGGATTTAATGAGTTTAATGAGCACTGTGCATTTTATAGTTCACGTCCGTCACATCATACTTTCATTCAGTAGTGGTTGCCATTGTAGACAAAAGTTCTTGCGACCTATATTTCGTGTAGGAATTTTTTTAACTACTTACCACTGTTGTAAATAATTAATAGAACTGTTTTCATAAAACTATAACCCAAAAATAATACTAAACACAGTGAATAACAAAGAAAAGAATTAATTAGCCAACTTACTTTATCTGGTGTAAAAATCAATTCTGTCAGCTTTCATACTTGAAACGTAATATGGTGACACGCAACAAATATTACCTGCCAGCGTATATGCAATTAATATATATATATATATATATGTTTGAGGTTAGAACACGGATTGATACCAGTTAGAGAACCATAGACAATCAGGGAGTACTGGACAGCCAGCTGTTTCATCCTAGTTTGGGACTCATCGGCGGCACTCACCCACTGGGTTTCGAACCCAGGTCCTTCCGATTACAAGGCAACCTCGTATACCATTCAACCACTGCGACCCGATTCGATTGCCCGTGAATCTGATGCTCTCTAGTGATTAACTACAGGAGGAAGTTGCCTAGAGTTCTAGTAAGAATTCGTGACCAATGAGGTCCATTCAGTCACGGGTGAGGATGGAGTACCCGCCGATGAAATTGGTTGGTAATCGCGCTAAAATCACGAATTGGTAGAAGTTAGAATTCATGGGGCTGGCCATTGAATCGTGTCCCAGTGGCTGAATGGCATACGAGCTTGCCTTGTAACCGGAAGGTCGTGGGTTCGAAACCGAGTGGATGGGTACAGCCGATGAATTCCAAACAAGGATGAAACAGCTGTCTGTCCAGTACTCCCTGATTGTCTATGGTTCTCTAAATGATATCAATCCATGGTTAACCTGAAGCATATATATATATATATATCAGAAAACCAACAAATTATATATGCAAGAATGCACCAGCTGATTTATTTACGTTGTTTATTTTTGTTAATTTAGAATTCTGTATAAGTATATGTGACATTATCACTTCGAACAACTTTGATTGTGACTAATATTTTGATAGTGACTAAATTTGTGAGTTGCACATATACCACCAAGTGGTTACAGAATTGATTAGACCATTACATCGGTCAGATAACCATTGGGAAACCTGAAAGTACTGGACAACCGTCTCGTCCTAGTTTGCAATTCTCCAGCAGTTTGTATCCATGACTCCACCGGGAATCTAACCTTATCTCTCTACAGGAGTTACAAGGCCAACTGGTTTGACCATTCAGTCATTGGGACGGAATCCAATCACCCATGAATTCTAATTTCTATCAACTTGTGATATCAAGCGCAACCTCCAGCCAGTGTCATCGGCTAGTATTTGTCCTCACGTTTGATTTGGTGTTAATTATGCTTACACAATCATTTTCCTTCTTTCAGTCTATGATTCTTTACACTGGGTACAGATTTGTTCACTGAGATTGTGAATTTTTTTGTATTGTTGTAAGCAGCACAAGAATTACTTCCTCTACCTTTTGAAACAGTCCATCTGTGATAAATTAGTAATAAGTCATCCAGAAAATCAATACTGTGAGATGACAATATCATCTTGTAGTTTTTATACGATCGCATAGCATCGTTGACAATAATAAAAATTTTCAAATATTGATTTTGTAGGGATTTTTGTTTGACTGCATGGAGGATTTCATCATGAGCCCTGGTGAGTGTGCACTGATGAAGAGTCCCAAACTAGGACGAAACAGCTGTCCAGTACTCCCAGGTTTTCCAGTCGTTCTCTAACTGATGTCAGTTCATGATGAAATCCTCCATACAATAATAAAAATGTCTGACAATTAATTAATTTCAAATTAGGTTATATGGAATAATAGTACATATTTACAACCAATCATATTTAAATAGGTCAAGGGAGGACAAAAGTTGTTTTCTGTACACAATTTAAGAGGCATGTGACTAATCTAAAGTGCTTCCATCAACCTTTAGTAGCCTTGACTTAAGGCTGTTTGAAATAATAATTGAAAAACAGACTATTAAAGTGGATTTTGTGACTAGACACTAAAAAAATGTTTTACACAATGGATGGATTTTCTACATCCGCTTACTGACTGAGTTTCAGCATGAAACTTTACACAGAAGCGCATCAGTTCAAGTTGCCACACTTCATGCAGCACACAAAGGTAGAAAACAAAGAGAGAGAGGAAAGAGATTTAAAAGGACCTATAACGAGCAGAATTTTAAAGGAGAAAGAATAGTAATATAGAAAAATATGACGGTTTTTAGTGGATATGGAGCATCACAGAGAGCGAATACATCTGCTCCACTGAGAACGATTTTCAACCATATGACCAACAGTCTCAAGCCATTGGTTCTTAGAATCCCGTACGTGGCTGGCTCAAACCGACTGTCAAAGACTTTTTGGATTGACCACCCTTAACTCTTTTCCAACTTAATCCATTTCTCAACAAGAAAGGTGACGGCTCAGCATGTGTAACACGCTTCCTAGTTATCTCAATTTATGTAGCTTCACAATCTTATCGATTGACTTATTCTCCTTACTGAGCACCTCATACTTAACCCCAATACTACTCACCCTGTTACACCAGGACCTAACACGGGCTCAGGCACCTATGATCAAAGACAGCTAGCAAGGCAAGGCTTCCTGTCGATTGCCTCCAACCATCTGATACCAACAATTCACAGTGCACCGTGATGGCGAGCCACCTAGCATTGTGGCCACATTGCATACTTGACTGAGAGGACTAGACACATTACACACACTAGTTACAGACTAGTATCCAATAAAAAAACAGCTAGCCTTTTCATATCCTCCAGTTTCAATGACGATGTCTCACAACCATAATGGAGGATAGAGCTGACTGCTGAGCTGTAGACATGTCGTTTGATCGATAACCGGATCTCATGTCTACATCAGAAGTGACATGTAGTGGATTTAATTCGATAGAATAAAGATAGATTATCCAAAACTGGAAGTAGTCTATAGTGCGTTTCTTTAACTCCGGATTGAGCATGATGATGAAGGTGAAACATTGAAGATTTTGATTTTCTTTTTTTTGGCGTAGAAGATGTTGTACAGTGATTATCTTGAAGGCATTTAGCACAAAGCTGAGGTCGTTTCTCTCAGTAGGATGAAAATTTTGCATCTAAGTGTCATCAAGGAGTGCTTCACATGAGAAAATCAAATTAGTTAATCCAATTGATAAATTTAAATAAATAGTGATACTCATTATTATATGCAAGTATACAATAACCTTAACTGCCTATTCCCCTTAGTTGCTTCTTTGTCTTCAACTGTTCATTGCATTTATCTCTTCATTGCAAATTTTACCTGACATAATTCATTTCTGCCGGCTGATCAAAATTTATTTCGCACTAACTTTTCGGATTCTGTCTGCTTTGAATCGTTAAATTTACTGCATGTAAATTAACATTTTTGTAATGTTAACTAAAAAATTTTTTAACTGGAAGTCATCACATATCGAGTCTGCTGTTCAGTTTTTACCAAAAGTTAGAATTAAAAATATTTCAAGTTTTTGTTTGTAAGGATTTTATTGATCTCAGTTAAAGAACCACTGACAGTCATTGAGTCCTGGTTATTTTTTACGTCCTTCACAATCTGAAGAGACTTGCTTTCTATCCTTAGTGGTGTAAGCACTTTCTGTTTGAAAAGCCCCAAACTATAATGAGACAGCTTGTCCAGTACTCCTTAGTCTAAACACTCAGTTTTCGGTCGATAAATCACGGGTTTGAGTCCCGCTCCACCTACGTTAGCCTGGGTAGTTGAGTAGTATCTTCAGCCCTCACACGATAAGTCTGGCTCTTAACCGAGTAATTGAATTTATACAAACAATACTCACCGGTTTTCGATAGTTCTCTAACTGATCACCGTTTGTAATAAAATTTATTTTAAAAATATTCCATTAAAGAGAAGCATTGTTTACTCGATTGAAGTGAATTGAACTTTTATTATATGTGTATTAAATTGATTTTTTTTTACCGTTAAAAATCCACTTTTCAATCTTTGGGTGTGATTTTTTTTGTAGCTTCCTCGTAATCTTCGTCAGATATATGTGCATAGTTATCAATCGTTCTTATGGAATCATGTAGCTAGTCGTCGAATGGCACAACAGGATCCAGATGATTATTATGCTAAACCTGGTGATCTTTATTATAATAATATTGATCAGGTGACTATTTCAGATGAATGTAAAACTGGTATGTTGGTGCATAAAATAATATGTTATCTTTAAACAATATATATTTATAAATAACTGTTATCTTATGACCGAATTAATAGATCGGCGGGATCATATAATATCCGGCTGTCGACCAAAGGACGGGACGTGTGTACTGCTCAGCAGTTCGCTCCGTCCTTATGGCCACTGAAAGTTGAAGACTTGAAAAGGTCGGCTAGCTATCTTTGATAATAGATGTCTGCGTTCTATCTCCCGTGATAGTTGGCATCATAGGGTGAGCAATACTAAGGTTAGGCGTCAAGTGAGTCAATTGACAAGGTTGTGAAGCATATGCGTCAGTTGAGATGGTTATGACATGTGTTACGCATGCCACCACCTTCCTCGACAACGGGCAATGTTAGTCGGCTGACATTAGGATGGGTGAGGTTGGAAAACAGCTGGTGGTGTGGTCAAACCAACAGATGGCTTCATCAGTCAGTGAAATCCATGACAGTTAGTTTGAGTCAGCCACTGTTGACTGGCTAGATTCAACATAGAACTTGGCACTGAACTGCAGCAGTTCGAGTTGCCACGTTCCAAATACTACACAAAGGTAGACAAGAAAATGAGTGAAGAGAATCAATAGAGTTTTGACAAGTATAAGAGTGAAACAGAATGAGTAATGGTAGAAAGGAATATGAAAGATTACAGAGACTGAATACATCTGCGTAAGCCATTGACAACGATTTTGAGCCATGTCGCCCATTGTCTCCAGCCATTGATTCTTAGAGTCCCGAGGGCCCCAAACAACCCGGAAGTCTGCATCTCCCTACCTGACTCAGTTTAACTGTCAGGGATTTCGTGGATTGATTGATGCCATGTTTTTGTTTGGCCACCACTTACTCTTTTCCAACCTGCACCTATATCAGCTAGTAATGCCCGTCGGGGGAGGCGATGGTTAGGCATGCGCAGCACGTGACCTAGCCATCTCAATCTATGTAACTTTATAGTCTCTTCGATTGATTTTCCCTCTTTGCCCAATACTCTACGCCTAACGTCAACATTACTTACCTTATTATGCCACCTAACGCGAGAAAGAGATCGTAAACATCTGTGGTCAAAAACAGACAATCTCCTCATGTCTCCCGCTCCCAATGGCCACGTCTCACCGCCATAGAAAAGGACGGAGCGAACTCCTGAGCAGTACACACGTCCCTTGGTTGATAGCCGGATGTCACGCCTACGCCAGAGATGGTGTAAGTTAGCGAAAGCACCTCGAGCATTTTGGATCCGTGCTGAGATTTCGTCACCAATCAATCCGTTGGTGCTGATACAACTTCCCAAATAGGTGAAGTGGTCAACATGTTCTATCACTTCACTCCCTATCATTAAGCTAGGAGTTGACGTAGTCCAGTCCTGTAGCAGCATCTTACATTTTACAGGGGCGAATCGCATGCCAAACATACAAAGATTGCTGCTCAAGGTGTTCAGAAGACTCTGCATTTTGTCAGCGTCCTCCCCTAACAGGACTATGTGGTTTGCGTATTCTAAGTTATAAGACTATTCCCTGGTAACAAGTCGATTCCTAATTCGTCAAGTTCAGTTAAGGATACTTCCATTAGCATATCTATGATGAAGTTAAACAGGAATGGGGAAAGTGGACATCCTTGACGGACACCACTGGTTGTTAACAATTCAGATGACAATTCCCCATAAGCCCTTACACAGCTACGTGAGTTTGAGTAGAGTGCCTCGATTAGTGCAATGTACTTTCTGGGCACTCCCTTCACAGTCAAACATTGCCATAGTACCTCTCTATCCACGGAGTCGAAGACCGCCTTCAAGTCAAGAAATATGGCAATTGTCGGACGCCTAAAAGTGTGTCTATGTTCTAGGATCTGTCGGAGAGTGAAGATATGATCTATGCACCCTCTACCTGGCCTAAAGCCCGCTTGATTTTCCCTCGTTTGTTCCTCCCGAGTTCGGCTTAGTCTGTGCATGATTACTGAGCCTAGGATTTTAGAGACTATGTTCGTCAGGCTGATTCCTCTATGATTATCACATGAGGACTTGTCTCCCTTCTTGAATATTGGTATGATAAGTGACTCACCCCAGTCTGATGAACCGTCTCTGATTCCCAGACGTTACCTAGTACCTTAGTTAAACTATATACTAGTATGTCACCCCCATATTTAAACACCTCCGGAATAATTCCGTCGGGTCCTGCCGCTTTGCCTCGTTTCAAATTACAGATAGCTTTGGTGACCTCACTTACAGACGACGGGCCAGTGTCTATATCCCATTCGGGTGTGTGCTGAATAGTGGGGAGGCTCAGTGTGGCTGTAGGCAAGTTAAATTGTTCCTCAAAGTGTTCTTTCCAGCGTTCGAGGCGTCTATCCTGAGAGCTAATTAAGGAGCCATTTTTCTCAGAAATAGCCTCACTTATGATTTGCCTTCTCCCACCCGTTTCCCTGATGAGTCTAAAGAGTTGCCTAGTGTTGCCTATCGCCGATGCTTTTTCCATCTCTTTCGCCTTTGTCAACCACCACTGTTCACGGTCCTTGTGGAGACTTTTCGTAAGTTTCCTTTTGTGCAGCTTTCGCTCCTCATTGAATTCGGAGCTCGCCGGAATAAGTCTTCTAGCATCTATCAGTTCGGATGAGGCAGTCGAAATCCAATGGCTTTTACTCACCTTTGGATTTACCTTATTCACAGCTTTTACAGCTGTATCTATGGCTGACTGGATATTCTTCCAGGCTTCTTCAGGGTGAGCGCAGCTGTCGAACTCAGATATGTGTTTAGCTAGTTCTTCCTCAAATAGGGACTTAGTTTCCTGATCGAGCTGGGGACGTGATGGGTTTACCGCTAGCTGTTTCCTACGTCCGTTCAGTCGTAAGCACACACGAGCGCGGACCAGTGAGTGATCGGTATCTACACACGTGTTCCAGAAGGAGCGACAATCTCCTACCGACCCATGCCAACGATAGTTTATTGCTATGTGGTCTATTTGTGTCCAGCGTTGGTTTGATGATGGGGGTCGCCAGGTCAAACAATGTCTCTCCTTGTGTTTGAAGTTAGTGCTTACAAGAAACAAATGATCATCTGAACAGAACTGTAGGAGACGGTCACCATTGTCGGTTCGCTGGCACGGAATTCCGTATGTGCCACCGACATTCTTCTCAGATTGACACAATTTCCCTATTTGAGCATTAAAGTCACCAGCTAAAACGACAATATCTGAGCGTTTAGCCTTTCGCAGCAAACTAGACAGCTTTTGATAGAACTCATCCTTCGTTTCATCCGAACTGCAGTCAGTGGGGGCGTAGGCGGAGATTACGAAAAGGCATCGGCGAGTAGTGCAGTCCTTTCTCCTTTTCACTGATCCGTTCAGACGGACAGCACACATTCGGCTATCTACCGGGATCCAGTCAAGTAATGTCTTTTCTGCCCTAGTACTCAAAGCTATCCCAACACCAGCTAATCCTCGTGAGCTAGCTTGAGTCAGCCACGTTGGGAGGGAGGGAGGTGTCGGCTGCTGTCTGGTTGGGGTCCTTGGGATGGTAAGAACCAATGACGGCTAGAGACAATTGGTGATATGGCTGTCTCAAAATCTCTCAATGGCTAGTGCAGATGCATTAACTCTTTGTGATTGGTCATATCTAATAAAAATCTACTGTTCTTCCATATTAGTATTCTTCTTCCCTCACTCATGCTTCTGTTTTCATCTGTTTTTTGAACTTCCCTTTACTCTCTTCTCCTGCATTGTGTGCTACAACGGGGGAATGTGGCAAGTTGAACTGCTGCACATCTGTGCAGAGTTATATGTCGAAACCAGTTGGTCAGGCAGTGATCACGTCTATATGTATTTTAGGAACTCTTTTAGGGCTATGCAAAGAACATTTACGTATTCATATTTGATTCTTTAGGTCATTCATTATCTGAAATTCTGAATAAATCATCTACACTATCTCTTTGTCATCTGTTTATGCCTTATATGCTGTTATGTAAATATAAATGAATAAGGTCAGGCAGTCACACCACATGGAGAGTTTTCTATGCGTATATGTGGTCGTTAAAAAATGGTGAAAAAGAATCTGACCTTATATTTAGTATTTATTTTTGTTTTGTGTGATGCATTGTAGTAAGAATTCCATTGTGTGCTAAAAAATGATGTGATTTAGAAATGCTATAATCTTCACCTGTATAGTGTCATATGAATAGCTCACATAGAATGATTATAATATTCACAGTTTCATATAGTTATAAATAAATAATGCAAATAAGTCACCTCTTAAAGGCTTTTTTTATTATTCTAATGAGTCACACGTTACAGAAAAAGAGATGTGGAGAGACAAAGAGGACGAATGAGATATTGGTAGAGTGTAATATGAACCCAGGAAACACTTTTGTTGTCATAACTCAGCTATTCAGTATGGATTTTCTATGTAAACCAGGCCGTGAAGTCTGATGATATCTAAGCTCTGCAGAAGATAAAAAGCGGAATTCGACTCAGGAACCCATTAATTGAAATTTAAGCGCTTAAGACAGTGAGTCACTAGCTGTAAAAGTCAAGTGGTCAAACCGGTGAATCAAATCTCAATGTGTCAGGTGTACCGTTGCATTCAGCTAAGTTAAGTATAGCGGAGATCTGATAGGATGAAACTTGATTTTAGTAATCCTTACTTCCACTTATATTAGATGGCAAGTAAACGTTTATATGGTACAATCTGTAATTAATATTGAAGTTAAGTGTAGGCTGCTAGGAGAGTATGAGAAGTCAATCAATGAAGTTGTGCAGCTACATTGGTTGATATACCTAGGACAGTGTAACAAATGCCGAGTCACTCCGTTTCGCGACGAGCAATGTTAGCTTATGATGGTTTGGGTAAGAGTTAAGGTTGGTGGTCAAACAGAAACTTGGCATCAGTCCAAGAAGTCTTTAACAGTTGATTTAAGCCACATAGAGGGGGGGTGTAGACCGTCTGGTCTAGGTCCTCGGGATTCTAAGATCCAATGGCTGAAGACTTTTGGTGATATGGTTCAAAACCGTTCTTAGTGACAGCGCAGATACATTTGCACCCTGTAATCTCCCAGATCGATTAAATCACCAAGTCTTCCTATGTTACCATTAATTCTTCCATACATTTTTACTCATTACAATCCTGTTGAATTTCTTTTTTCTGTGCTGCATTGAGTGTGGCTGTTTAAACTGCTGAACTTCTTTCTGTACAAAGTTCCATGTTTAAACTCAGTCAGTGGTACAGTCTATTTATATTTTCAACTAGTATATCATCATACTTTTCAGAATATTTTTCAAGTTGCCTAAGAAATATTTCCATAAGATAGTAGTTTTAAATTTTATGCACTACTACTCATCATTAATCAAAAGAAAACAACGTTAAGCCTCCGTTTAGTCTCACTTTGGTGCTTTTCATTAGTGTGCATGTATGTTTTTCCTGAGGTCGAGCTTAAGAATGTTAAGTTTCAAGGCGAATATGCTGTCATTCAGTCACTAGATCAAAATACTGTGCATTTCGAAATTTCCGCCTATTGAAATTATAATGGTGTTGTCATTTACTGTCACTAACAAGTAAATGCCATCACGCCTAACTCAGTAGACCTCACACTGACCGTAACTCCTTTGTCATTTTGTCCTATTGAATAGTCGTCATACGTTTGATTTTAACCGTGTAACGGTGGCACAGTGGTTAGGACTCTCACCGACCATGCACATGGTCCTGGGTTCGATCCCCTGCCGACGCACACCCGATATCTATGGTCGGCCTGAATTTGGGCTACCGATATCCATGCTGAAAATTCCATACTTGTACTGAAAATACGGTGTGGCATCAAGCTTAATCAAATTAATTTAAAAAAGAAGACAAGAAACTTGGTAAACGAATGTTTATCTGGAATTCGGTATCTCAATATAGCGAAATTATGTACACCTTATCTCCAAATCATCATTTGCACAGATATTCCGTGTTGGGCTACTTCTGTCCTTCGTATTGTGTTTCTTTGTCTTCCTTTTCATGACTCCCATGTTTTTTTTTGCCGAAACAGTGAATCATTTGCTATCTTTGACGTCAAATCTATCTCCCTGCTATTTCATATGTCTATGCCAATGAACGTCTCTTTATAAACTACAGATAAATCTTATCAGTAGCACACGCCACAATCGTTTGCAGGCAACATGAGACTGAATAAATGAACTCTGCTGTCATTGCATCATATTCTCTGGAGAATTCACACTGTATAAGTTCGAAAGTTTTTTTTAGTTATACAGATTAGGTTTGTATTCTATTCTTGCTGCTACAGGACTGGACTACGTCAACTCCTAGCTTAGTGATAGGGAGTGAAGTGATAGAACATGTTGACCACTTCACCTATTTGGGAAGTTGTATCAGCACCAACGGACTGATTGGTGACGAAATCTCAGCACGGATCCAAAAAGCTCAGGCTGCTTTCGCTAACTTACACCGTCTCTGGCGTAGGCGTGACAGCTGGCTATCAACCAAGGGACGTGTGTACTGCTCAACAGTTCGCTCCGTCATTGTCTGTGGCTCTAAAACATGGCCAATACGAGTTGAAGACATGAAAAGGTTGTTTGTTTTTGATCATAGATGTTTACGATCTCTTTCTCTCGTTAGGTGGCATAATAAGGTAAGTAATGTTGACGTTAGGCGTAGAGTGTTGGGCAAAGAGGGAAAATCAACCGACGAGGCTATAAAGTTACATAGATTGAGATGGTTAGGTCACGTGCTGTGCATGCCTAACCATCACCTCCCCCGACGGTTGGGCATTACTAGCTGATATAGTTGCATGTTGGAAAAGAGTAAGTGGTGGCCAAACAAAAACATGGCATCAATCCATAAAATCCCTGACAGTTAAACTGAGTCAGGTAGGGAGATGCAGACTTCCGGGTTGGTTGGGGCCCTCGGGACTCTAAGAACCAATGGCTGGAGACAATAGGTGACATGGCTCAAAATCGTTGTCAATGGCTTACGCAGATGTATTCAGTCTCTGTAATCTTTCATATTCCTTTCTACCATTACTCATTCTGTTTCACTCTTATACTTGTCAAAACTCTATTGATTCTCTTCACTCATTTTCTTGTCTACCTTTGTGTAGTATTTGGAACGTGGCAACTCGAACTGCTGCACTTCGGTGCCAAGTTCTATGTTGAATCCAGACAGACAGACAAACAGTATTCTATTCTCTAATATGATATGAATACATCACTATCCAAACCTGTTATTTAATAATAGACTTCATTTAATTTGGAGTAATCAGAAACTTACAATTTTATTATGAATTAAAATATTGTGAATAAGCTGCCTTCATCATTTGTATTTAATGCTAAGCATCTGTGTGCATAAGGAAGTCTTTTGTACTACCGTAAACCTTTGTTATTGCGAATGCTATACATATATGGTTGGTAGTCTCTAACTGATATCAATCCGTGGTCAAACTCAAACTCGATACATATGTGTTTAACAATTTCGTAATCAAAATAATTGGGTTTTTATTATTATTGATTTCTTTAGAGGATGTTATCTCCGAAGAATTAGTTTTAGAAATGAGTGAAACCTTAGTGACACCAACAGATTGTACTCCTTCGTCTAAAACATCTCTCATTCATCCATCAGTTGTTGGAGAAGATGAAATTGGAAAAATCCCTCTGAAGTCTGTTGTACTTCCTGTTCCTGGCTATGCGACACACTATCCTAAAAATCAAAGTAAGTTGCATTACAGGTTTTGTATCCATTTAAATTGTTGATGTATAACTTTGAATTTCTTTGCTTTTCTTTAGTGGCTTATCGTAGATGCTACTGAGTCCCAATGTATATGTCTCATATATTTTAGTGAGGGCTGAGATATCTCCAGAATGCCCCCAATCGAATCACAGAGGACCACTTCTTATGTCTTTAATCTGATCCTACTCTACAATACAGCAAATCAGACTTAGAAGCTAAATTCTCATAGATTCGTTCCTTTCAAATATTAAAACCCATGTGTCCTGTTGATTTCGATTAAGGTCTTCCAGCAACGTTGTATCTACGATTCTCGCGATTAATGCTCGACATTATTAGCTTATTATTCACCCACACACTTTTTAGGAGAAGAGTGGGTTGAATATATCCAATAAGGGTTGTGAATACGTGATCACAACTGGATATTTTTAAGGGGAAGATTATTATTATTTTATTGTTCCCTTTGGTTCTAGGTGTAGCATAGGGCTTCATTAGCACATCTTCACTTTGTCCTATTTTCTGTGGTCCTCTTAAGCTCCCCCCTCCACTATTGTCCATAGTTTCTGCTTGCACAACCTCCTCCATGTGACTCTCGGATGCCTCACTCGTTGTTTCCCATACGGGCTCCACTCGAGCGATGGCCTGCATTGCGCTTGATGTCATTCGGTTGCCTTCACAGCACGTGTCCGGTCCATCTCTATTTTCTTGTGCACACTTGTTAAGCAATAAGTTTTCGGTTGGTTCTTTCCCAGAGTTTCTTGTTGCTAATTCTTTCTGGCTGACCATTTGATCTTCAGTATGAAAAGGCAGCTGTTGATAAAAGTTTTCTGCAGGCTGTTGGGAATGCTTTTCTTGACACGAGCGCCAAGTTTCTGACCCATTCACAAGAAGTGACTTAACATTCGTGTTGAAAATCCGAAGACTGGTGGGACCCACCAAATTATTTACTGTTACATATCAATGATTATGAATTTCTTTACGTTACAAGAAATTTTTGCTACATATCTAGGGCATGAGAGTGTATTAACGCTCAATGTCCAAACTATTGGTGTTATGAATGATTGAATCATTCTACAACTACTTAGTATAATCCCAATATGTTTTCAAAGAAATATTAAAAGATAACTTCACAGTCATTCTAAATAAACAAAATTAAGGCTAGATGTTCTTGGAATCCGTTAAAACCCTGTAGTTTTATTGCTCTTTGCGTCTTAAATCTTGTTGTCAAGGCATTTGAAAGTCAGTTAAGATGTCTTGTCTAGTGCTTTCTCATGTAACATGTAATTCCCATCCCAATCAACTTTATAATATTCAAAGTTAAGTTAAATTGTTCACTCATACAACAGTAACATCATCAAAGATTGTTTAAAATCAAATTTTTAATTTTTTAAATATCATATTATTCTATTTATTTCAATATGGGCTTCGTAACGAACTAACATTAATTAGAGAAATCACTGAAAACTATGGAGCACTAGACAGTTGTTTCATCCTAGACTGAGGCCTTTCAACAATGCGCACCCATGACCCCACCAGAAGTCGAACTTGGACTTTCAGGTTACGAGACTGACTATCTGGCTACCTGGGCCTGAATCTAATAACCCGTGAATACTTACTTTTTCAATTCTTGATATAGCTCCATCCTCAACCAGTGCCTTCAATGAGGATCCACTTCCGCTTGACATAATGGACCCCGCTGGTCACAACTCAGCACGGATTCAGGGCATCCATCTAGTAACCATTAATGAGCTGGAGGTTGATATTCAGATTATAGGCTTTTGTCGCGGGTCGTGGGTGCGCACTGATGAAGAGCCCCAAACTAGAATAATAATTTGCTTTATTCCAAAACAGTACTTGTGATACAATGGAATTCTCAGCATTTTTACTACAGTATTGCATCCAGTTAGTACATTATCAATAAATAGAATTCTACATAGATTAAGGAAATCTCATTTCATTAGGACAACAACGTATTGGGATGTCGGTAGCAAAGCCAAAGCTGAACAGTGTTTGAAGGTGTTAAAAAAGTAGGAGCTGTCATATTTACTGGCGTAAGCGAGAGAAAGAAACAAAGCAGCACAAAACGGAAAAGAGAGAGAGAAAAGGAAAAGAAAGAAAGAAAATGTTGTACCTATAAAATGATATTAGTTGGAAAGACGAGATCCAGTTGTACTACTGACTATTTAATGAATTATAGGTGTCACGCCTAATGCTTTCTTTATCACACAGAACACGAGCTAAGTAGGGTATGGTTGAGTTTTTGTACTTTCTGGTGCCAGCATATAGTTTTCCATATAGGCTTCTGCTTTTGCCTGATGAGATGCAAGGGGAGAGTTGTGAGTGAAGAGGGTGGTGTGAGTTAGATAAAATGAACTTGTCCCATTTTTCACATGCATCCATGTGCCTGTCAACCAGAATATTAACAAGCTGGTTAAGTGGCACATTGCTTACTCTGCTGACAACCTTTAACATCCTGCGTAATATGTTATAGTCTTTCTTCAGTAGCCCGGGAAAAACTAAGGGGGAACAATAGAGAATAATAGGCAGAATGCGAGAGTTAACGAATTGTAGGAGTAAGGGTTGGGTTATACCAGAATGTCTTAACTTCTTGATGTAGAAGGTAAGATGGAATATTTTCTTAGAAATTGTCAAGATATGAGACGACCAGGAGAGATCAGCAGATAGAATGACGCCTAGGTATTTAATTTCCGACTTGGTTTCTATTTCAGTGCCATCAATGTTGCACACCTCGTGAGAGCCAACCAGTTTGTTTAGGTCGGATTTATGCCTAAAGGTGAAATTGACTGTTTGGCATTTGGAGGGGTTTAAGGTAAGACCGTTTTCCTTGGACCACTGGCTGATTTCTGACAGAAAGCCATTAAGTTTAGAGCAGTCGCTTTGACATTTGATAGGCAAAGATACAGACAGATCGTCAGCGTATTTGACAAAAGTAATGTCATTTGAAGATGGTAAGTCATGTAGAAAGAATATTCTGTTTAATTTTCATTTGTGTGTTTCCGAACAACGTAGCAAATTCAACTAATGCACTTATGTACGTGTATATGTATGTGTCTTTGTCGTTATGTCTGTTTGACCTTTAACTGTGTGTGTTCACAATACATTCTAAGAATTTTTTTTATTCATTAAGTTGTTGTTGTTCATATTTATGACTGCAGGTCACATAAAGTACACGTCCTACAAATGTTGTTTATCTTGTGAATTTTGTGTACTTATTTGTAGGCGCTGATTGGTATACTGAGTTACTCAAAGCAGACGGTTTATCACCTAAGAATTTTAATAATTCTATCAAGTGAGTACAGTTCTTCGGTTTGTTTCATATGTATATATCAAGTGTATTTGTTTGTCTACAAAACAGAATGAAAGATTTAAAACAGTTAGTCCCTTTTATAAATTTTGATAGCATTATTAGAAGACGGAGATTATCTGAAAAATGTGATGTATTAGCGCTATACATTTCGAACGATCTGATCACACATTTACTTGTCAAGTCAATATATATGGAAACGTTTGTGTTAATTATTCTTAATTCTTTTTTGTCACCTTGTTTAATTTAACCTTTCCATATATATTGACTTGACAAGTAAATGTGTGATCAGATTGTTCGAAATGTATAGCGCTAATACATCACATTTTTCAGATAATCTCCGTCTTCTAATAATGCTATCAAAGAATGAAAGATATTATTGAAATATGAAGATTTCAAGTAGTATCAGCTCATCATGAAGTTATTTTATTTTATTGACTTGTTTATTTTTCTTTCTGAATATCGTGTAACTAACATGTAACCTTTACATTCAGAACCTTTAAAACTGTGAATACACGTTTTCTAAATTAAAGCATTACTGATAATAGTGAACTATTAACTGGGAAAATTTCATTTTTGTGTAAATGGGGACGTGGCCCGCTGGCTTAAGTACTTGGTTTTCAGTCAGTAAGTCATGAGTTGAAATCGCACTGCACCTATTTCAGTCTAGCTAACTGGAGAGTACTATCAGCCGTCGAAAAATAAATGTAACTCTCAGTCTGGTACATAAATGTCTGTTCCGAGTTACTGAGTTCAAACATCAAGCATGAACAAATAAAAATAAACACTCAGAAGTGACTGCATGTTTTTTTCTTCCTTCACGTTCCCCAGTGGAACATAGGGCTTCAACCTAGTGGCTTAAAGTTTCTATAGCAGTGTTTATTTTACAGGATGGGTTTGCTAGCCCCGTGCCCAACCTTTCCTCTTCACCAGCATTATTTCTGGCTTAGCGAGGTAAAGGAGTGGGTCGGCCGGGGATCGAACCCCGGACCATGTGCATGGTAGGCGAGAGTCCTAACCGCTATGCCACCACGAAGTGACTGCATAATTATCTCAAAAGTTGTTCATTGTGAATTAACTGCCTGTTATTTGACTGAGATTAGTATCTTACTTTTACGAAAACATAAAATATTTGCCTTTCAAGTTTGCTCACGGACTGATTTCAGTAAGAGAATAGTTGAAAACGAGAGAGTACTGGACAGCTGTTTCGTCCCAGTTTGGAACTCTTCGACAGTATGCACCCATGATTCCACCGGAGATCGAACATCAGGCTGGGTCCGTGAGGACAAATACTCACCAGTGATGACATTGTGCTAAAATTGCAAATAAACAGAAGTTAGAGTTGATGGGCCATTGAATTCTGGTACAAGCGACCCAATGGTTAGCGAGCTTGGCCTCGTAACCTAAAGGTCCCAGGTTAGATCCCCGAGAAGTTCCAAACTAGGACAAAATAGCTGTCCAGTACACTGGGCTTTTCCGCGGTTCTCTAACTAAAATTAATCCATTATCACACTTGAAACAAATCAAATCCCCACAAACCAATTCTTAAAAATAACTGCATTTGTCATTTTCTCACTCGTATTCATAAAATTTCCCCATGTACAGAGATATTGTAATCACCACAATAAACTTATGGATGGTGATGATAGCGAATGATCAGGCATGATATCAGTAGTCTCTATATATGACCTTGTAGTCGGATGCTATCATCTATGTGATCAAAGGTGGTGAAACAAGGTTATCAGTTAATATGTGAGCTATTTATAAGTAAATTTAAATAGTATATATATAGCCACTTCTCTCAAGAAACAGTTATGTGTCGCTGGAGAAACGTTGGAAGAAGGTGACAACTTTCAGAAGGCCATAATGAGCAATAGTGAAGGACGAACAAATTATGCCTAGTACAGAGTGAATTATATTATTTGTAAATTGTAAAATCAATTTAGGGTTTATGCTTTAATGTCTATTATTTTTCTTGATTGATTAAAGATGCCTATTTGCAATATTCTTTATGATAACTTCATCACCAAGTTCTACAGTTATATATCCATAATAAATAGTGAAAGAATGATTGTTATTGACAGCATTAGTGGTTTTTAAAAAGAGTAACATCGAGTATCATTTAGGTCAGAATTCCAAAAGTTATTTGCAAATAGATTGTTGATAGATTATAGTCCAATATATATGAGTACGTGGTAATATGTATAGCTGTAATACTAAATTGAACACCAATATTACAAGGTAAATGATTATGAATGACAACGAATGTATCGTAATAAATTCTCATGAATCCTGTTCATATCAAATTCTATTCATATTGATTATAAACTTCAGATAGATGAATGATCATGTCAAGGACGGGGGTAGAGAAAACGTTTTAGTAACGTAAATATTCCCATAATTTATTCAGAATCGAAATATTTAGAGCGAACAATTGTTTTAATAAATTCTTCTTCAGTCTCTACAATTATAAATCCATCAATTAATCTAAGCATACAATAGCCAGCCAGTAAAGGCAAATTAGAATCATATCAGAAAGTGTATTGTGGAACAAGTATAAGATGGGATGGAACAATAGTAAGTTAGTTTTTTAATATGCCTGGTCAATGAGAAAATGGGACAAAATGAGATAAAGTAATTTAATTTAATGATGTGTGTATATATATAAATATAGTCAACAGAAAAATACAGGTTTCGCGAGTGTGTGTAATCAGGGTGTGTGAGACAATGTGAAAATAAACCAACGAATGGGGCGGTCTAGACATAAGTTCAAGGTTGAAAATAACGACAGTAAGAATGATTGTCAAATAATAACGATGATATGGTGTAAAATTACAAGTACTATTGGTGAATTATTGTCAAATAATAATAATAATGAATATAATGAAGTGGAATGAACAGGATTTTGTAAATACGATAGCAAGTTAGAAAAGCACTACTTAAACCTAAGGTAATAAAATCATAAGACAGGTCATGAAATCATAAAAGTCGAAAATGAACGATTGTCAATGAAACAGAGGAATACAAGAAGAAGAAGAAAAGAAAATTGTGAAAGGAATTTATAGTGTTAATGGATTTATAATTGTAGAGCCTGAAGAAGAATTTATTGAAAACAATTGTTCGCTCTAAATATTTTGTTCTGAAAAATGATTGTGTTAATATATGTGTAAAACTTGGTCACTGTGGTGTATGTATCACATCGTGAAACAGTATTAGTATGTACTGGATGACAACACCAACAATAGGGATTATAAATCAGTAGTACTTCCATACAAAGAAGGAACCTCGGAAACCTTACACAGAATTCTTAACAAGGCAGGAATAAAAGTGGCATTGAAATAATCTTTTTGTGGGTTAAAAAATCCTGTTGAGCCAATTAAACAAAGCAATTTAGTTTATCTAATGCCCTGCAATGATTGTCAAGTTAAGTACATAGGACAAAGTAGTGGAACCGGGGCAGTCAGACTAGCGGAGCACAAAAACCTAGCAGCAAAATCTAGATTAGTTGACGCTGATAAGATCAATAATCTGGAGAATAGTTCAGCTATAACACTAGACACAACCACACAATAGGATGGGATAAGATGCCAGTTTTAAAATCTAATCTGGAACAGGGTGGGGGGAGAGATTGATAACGGAAGCTTTATTTATCCAACCAACTGCAAACACTTTCAACAGGAGTGATTCAACACCTGGAAAATTCTACTACCCCTACGACAAATAAGAGGGAACAAAAAAACTATAAAACTCAAGTTTCCAAGTTGTGTGATTATAATTGTATGATTATGAACAATAAATTGTATTGGATTCAAGTGTTGGTTTGTAGGGATTTGATTGATTACAGGATTTTCATCATGAGCTGACATTGGTTAGAGAACCATTGGAAAACCTGGGAGTACTGGACAGCTGTTTCGTCCTAGTTTGGGACTCCTCATCAGTACGCACCCACCGGGATTCGAACCCAGAACCTTCTGGTTACAAGGCGAGCTCGTAGACCGTTAAGCCACTGAGACCCGATCCAATGGAAACGTCATCCAGTCAACATAGGGCTTCAGCCGTGCATCTCCATTGCGTTCGGTTCTCCGCTAGAGTTTTTACCTGGCTCCAAGTCTGTCCACACGTTTTCATCTCCTCTTCACATGACTTCCTCCAAGTCACCCTTGCACTGACGACCAACTCGCCGCTTCCCTTTCAGTCGGGTTCCACTCGAGCAATGGCTTGTCTAGTGATGTCACTTGATGGTTTCCTCAGAGTGTGATATATATATATATATATATATATATATAATAAACAAATTAATATGGAAATAATGATTGTGAAACAATAACGATGATGTGGTGTAAACTTAAAAGTACTATTGGTGAACGATTATCAACTAATGATGAATTCAGTGAAGTGAAATGAACAGGATTTGGTAAATATGATAACAAGTTAGAAAAAGCATTACTTAAACCTAAGGTAATAGAAATCATAAGAAAGGTCATGAAATCGTAAAAGTTCAGAAATGAACGTTTGTCAATGAAACAAAGAAGAAGAGAAAATTGACCTTTACTGGCTATTGTTTGTTTAAATTCATGGATTTATAATTGTAGAGCCTGAAGAAAAATTTATTGAAAACAGTTGTTCGCTCTATTTTTGTTCGGAAAAAAATTTGGGGTTGAATTTTATGCTCGTTGAATGTGTGTCAGCGTGTAAGGTAACACTACGTTTAGATAAGAAAACTAGAGGTAAGTTAATGCAAGTTTAATGACAAGGGGTAGAGGAATTCATGTGTACAGAATGGAGGACCATCTCAAAAAAGGCTAACGTGACAAGGTATTTATGAATTTACAGACTCCACAGTAGGCCAGGGCAGCAATAGTGGTTGGACCTGTTTCTTCTGTACACAGAGCACCGGTTGTTTTAGGCGAATTACAATAGCTTCTGTTGTTTGGAGTATTCGTTACCTGGATGCTTTTCGGCAATTTATTTGGTACCCGGTATAGATGATAGAGAAGGATTCTTCAATGCTGGCTTTGTGACCTCTTTCGACCAGATGGTCTATTATCGAATTGTTGATGGTTTTTACTACACCGTAATTTAGCCGCACTGGTAGGTGTTCGCGAGCACGAAAAATCATGTTCCTAGAGTAACGGCCAATATAACTCGCTCCACCACAAGCGCCGTTCAATTGGTAGGTACAAGAAGAGGTAGCTAGTCTAGGTACTTCATCTTTCAATGGGGGAATCACAACCGGTCGTGTAGAAAATATGACTTTTAGTAGTTTACAAGCATTAAAAATCCCTTGATCGGATTTTTTTTAACTCGCTAGCAGTTATTTCACCAGCTGCGTCACCTTTGAACTACAGTCGTATATAATAAAGGCTTCTTATATACAGATAGGGAATAGTCCTTTTCTGCTTTCTTGGTCATATTTTTCTTGATAAACTTTTCAGGATAGTTATTTTCCATTGGGGTATCATATACTGTCATAGTATACTTGCCCCCGCCAGTCTTATTCTCTTCACTCTTAATACCGTCAATATCTCGTGTTATTTTCTCGCTATCTACTTCAATTAATTTAAACAGACATCAGTAACACTCGTATGATAGTCCAGGTTACTCTGGAGTTTAAACATTCGAGATACATAGAAGACAAATTTTACTAAATATGGTCATTAGTTTGAGAAATTTGTGACTAAGTATGAAATTGAATATTGTTGACTTTCCCCGAGGCTATGTTCCTTGATTTGTCAGACAAAGCAAAATGATAATCGAATATAATAACTATGATGGAGAGCACAATTTCAATGGACTTAAAAGTCAAAGAGGTCAGTCATTATGATGTGACCACAAACTTTTATACTCTTTTTTTAAAACAAAACTTGAGGACATAGAAAGAGTCAAAAAACAAGGCGGTTGAACTAAAAAAAATCAGATAGTGAAAATAAGAGAGGTACGCAGTTCATCACTTGAGAAACAACATCACACTCACTCATATATCCCAGTGATAGGTCGAAAAAACACTTCGTCATCCCATAAAAAATATAATGAATGTGGAACTTTGTTTGTGTCTGATCATGGGCATCTTACTTTATTGATTTGTCCACTAATATTTCAACCTGATATGAATCGAAATGTATTCTTCCAGCAAACAAGATATTTTTTTACTTGCCGTACTGTCAAACCCTCTGCACCCCCTTTATTCACAACTATCTCCTTGTATCTCATCAGGTAGGACGAGAAGTCAATATAAAAAGTTATATGCTCGAACCACTAAGTACAAAAATTCTACAATACCGTATTTTATGTGATGAAGACTCTGTTAGACGTGAAACATATAAGTTACTATGTAATTAGCAAAGTGAATCGACCCTTTCATTGTTCATCTTTCTGTAATTTTATGGTGTCACCCTTTCTATCGTTTAATTATAACTTAGCTATTTTATTTTAGTTGTTTTATTTATTACTACAATTTTATACTTTATGCATATTTTTCTCCTTATCGCATACTGTAATTGCTACATAGCTGCTATAACAACGTTTTATTATTATTATTATAATCATTATGTAATTGTTTATTTTTCGTCGTTTTGAGTAAATTAGATGCAATATTGTACTGAATGCTGAAAATTCCTTGCTGTATCATTAGTACTGTTTTTGGAATAAAGCAAAATTTTTATTATTATTATTTTTATTTTAGAGATTTTGCACTTCCTGGATCCTATCGACAGTTGATTGTTGTTCCGACAAATGTTGAATATGAATTCCATGAATATTCAGACCCTAATATACCACTGGTTAAATCTGATCTCCAGCTTCTTAACAATACCAATGACAATCAGGCCAATATGTCAAAAACTGAAACACAGGACAATGATATTTGCATAAATAAAGGTGAATACAATATTATGGATATATAGTAAATATGCTGATTACGATTTCTATGTGAAATATGAGATATTTCTTTTCATTGTATTTTTGTATAAGCATTACTACAAACATACACAAATTGTAACTAGTGTGATGACTTCCTAAGGTTCAGCCTCTAAAGTATTAGTGTAACGTTCTTGTTTACTTTGAGAATTTGCATATCAGCTAATGAATCATTTACTAGAAGCTTGAAACAAAGCAAAGTGAAATGAAATATTCGAACAACCATTCTAGCGTATCACATTTTAAAGGACTTATTGACTAACTCCCACCATAAACTGGGAAACTCAATTAAACCTGATTAAAATAAATTTGAAAGGAATATACAACTTTCATTCATATTTTTGAATTACTGGTGCAATAATCTGACCGAATCGACAAGCCTTATTTTGATAATATATATATGCTCCTTGAGTGTGTGCATAGACAATACCAAGAGTAAGAAGTTGAATCCACGACACGCGTCTCGTCCTATTTGGGACTTGTTGGCTGAATTTAACTGTATATATTTCCCACTGAGACTCAAACACAGTGCCTGTCTTTTCAAACGTCAAAACGTTGTCCACATAGCCATAAGTAGTACTGGGCTGGAACGCCATCGCTTACTGAGGAGCATTTACATCCATGTGGTGACTCCCAAAACAAAGTGTGCATCCTTGGTTCTACTGCTAACTATCACCTAACAGGGTGACTTTTTGTTTTAGCGAATCTTTTCCCATCACCAACAAGCTTGAGATAACTTTTAGGTCATACTAGAGTTTACTGGGAGAAATATTTCTGAAAATGTTATTGATAGAAAAGTGACAGATTGTCTCCTGACCAGTAAATATTGGCTTCAGATCTCACTCCATCTACGTTGACTACGAAAGTTGTATACTGCCTCCATAAATCAGTCAAGGTTCATGGCTTATTCAATTATAGGTTTACTGTGATACCATTGTTTGTGCTGTCCATCAGTATACTGTTTTATTTCTGATCGTTAAAAATGACGTGAATAAGCAATGTAAATTCAACTAAAGACCTCTACTTTTCAATTATCCTGATAATATTATCTGAGATGTTGACAATGGATACTATTTATATCCTAACTCGGGAAAAAACACTCATTAATGAGCATGATCACAAGGTATGCATATTGGCTTTTAAAATATGTGAGCATAAAAAATGTTGCAGATATGAATGAAGTTATTCTTAAACATTTATACAGTTAATGAAAGAAAAGCTGTCGCTTTATCCGGTCAATATTATGCATTTCGTTAATTTAAATTTATCAGTTTATTGAGGTTAGGCGTTCAGCGCTAGGTAAGGAAGGGAAATCAGTCGACAAGGTTGTGAAGTAACTGCTTCGATTGAGACGGTTAGGACATGTGTTACGCATGCTCGCCTAGCCATCGCCTTCCTCGACAACAGCCGACAATGTTAGTCGGCTGATATAAGATGGATGATGTTGGAAAAGAGCTAATGGTGTGGTCAAACCAATACATTGCTTCATCAGTCAATTGAATCCATGACAGTTAGTTTGAGTCAGCCACGTTGGGAGGGAGGTGTAGACTGCTATCTGGTTGGGGTGCTCGGGATGGTTGGAGACAATTGGTGATATGTCTGTCTCAAAATCGTTTTCAGTGACTAGCGCAGATGCATTCACTCTTTGTGATTGGTCATATCTAATAAAAATCTACTGTTCTTCCATATTAGTATTCTTCTTCCCTCACTCATGCTTCTGTTTTTTTATCTATCTTTACTCTCTTCTGTTGCATTGTGTGCTACATGGAGGGAGTGTGGCAACTGGAACTGCTGCACATCTGTACAAAGTTCTATGTTGAAACCAGTCAAATTTGTTAAATGTATTTAGAAATACAGAAATTAGTGAAATAGTCTTCTATATATATATTGATTTTCTTATTAATTAAAACTAACTTTTATGCATTTCAGATAAAAGTCAACAGGCTGTTGTGCTCACGTTTAATTTACCCAAATCAAGTTATGCTACAATGGCAATACGAGAAATCACAAAAACTGCTATAGAAAGAAGATAACTTCCAATATACACTCGAACATTGGAACCATCTGAGAAAATTCTATTGAATTTTCACAATGTTTTATAAGCTGTAAATAATAAAAACAGTTTATTTTTGTTTAAAAAACATTTCTGTTATTCTTTTTTGTTAGAGGGTTTCGTTTCAAGTTCATTGGCAAGTAGTAGTAAGATGCAAATCAGTTTATTGTGTTGAATTAAAAAAAAGAACAGCACTCGATATGTATATCACCTATTCAATTATGAAGCTGTAACTTATTGGTTTAGGCGTCCGACTCCCAACTGCTGGGTCAAGGGTTCGGACCTGTTAGACCTCAATAGGTGTTGTGGCTCACAGCTGAGTTGAGTTGACCGACCGAAAGCTGCTACCTTGACGTGGTGGTCGGGCTTGAACACCACAATGACCCAACAAGCTATACTGGCTGAGACTTATGTCGCTTGAGGTCCTACCATGCCAGAAAGGTTGTTTGGATAGCGGTTAGACAAAAAGCAGCTACCCAATCCAATACTATGATTCAAACAAATTCACAAAATAACATGCCGGATCTGTCGGGGCCCGGATTAACAACGACCGCGCTTCCTGCTGCCGTGTCACAGGGCAGAAGTGATAAATATGCTACTGAGACACACCAAATGAAAAACAAAAACAGGCCGTGTGTGACCGGCCTCAAGCAGTTGTCCCCTGGGCTCTGCGGTCACGCAACCAACTTCCACGGTGTGGGCAGCCGGGAAGTAACAATCGCCCTCACAATCCGAAGTGCACACGAAACCTCTCTAATCCTCACTCATCTTTGAGTTGACCTATACATTTATGGAAAAGGTATTTATAATATATTGCTTGTAAACACCAATAATTGTTGCATATTCTCTAAATAAAAATAACGACTCGCTCGTCTGTTCCGCTTAAGTTTCGTTGATCAGTAAAATTAACCTGTAGACTTTTATAATCTCGAGATACTAGCAGAAAATGGTCTGTGGAAGTTATCTGACCAGTTCTTTATTTTCAGTCAAAGTAGATATTGTTTAACACTTTCGAAACTATATATTTCAGAATTATTTAATCTACTCTTCTGTAATACATTATCGATAAGTTCTCAGTGTCTGATAATTCTCGTTCACAGTTAGGCTACATCTCAAAAGATGAGCAAGAATTCTCTGTGATTTTATTCTTGACGTTTTACTATCATCTAAATATATGGGGAATTTTTCTTGGCAAACATTTATAGCGTTTTAATTACTCAGAATGATACCGAAATTGTGGAATATTTATTACTATTATTATTATTCCCTTAGGTTCCAAGTGGGGACACCTAAGAAGGCTTCAGCAATACATCACTACTTCAATCTGTTCTCTTCAGTAGTCTTTAGCTGACTCTACGATTGCCTTCAAGCTTTTATTTCCTGCTCACTAGATCTCCTCCATTTTGTCCCTGGTTGCCCAACTCGTTGCTTGGCAGTCGGGTTCCATTCGATGGCCTGGCTTATAATGTCACTCAACGGTCTCTTTCAGCGCGTGTTTGATCCATCTCTATCTATGGGTCCTTGGTTGGTTCGTTACCGGATTTCCTTGTTGTTTCTCCCTTATGGCCAACAATATGGTCTTCGGTATGAAGCAAAAGTAGCTGTTAACGGAAGTCTGCAACAGGCAGTCGGAAATACTTTTGGTGTAATGCGCACTATAAGCAGTGATTTGACGTTGGTGTTGAAAATCCGAATCTTGCTCTTGATGCTCAGTGTAGTAGATTAACTGATTACTTTCCGAGTAATAAGGTATGTCCATTGAAAAACCTGGGAGTACTGGACAGCCGCTTCGTCCTGGTTTGAGACTCCTCAGCAGTACGCACCCACCGGGGTTCGAACCCAACACCTTCTGGTTACAAGGCGAGCTCGTAGACCATTAAACCACTGGTACCCGATCCAGTGTCCCGTGAATTCTAACTTCCGCCAATTCATGACGTAGCGCGTCCACTTCGCATTGCGAAGGTCCTGCGTTCGAACCCCGGTGGGTGCGTGCTGCTGAAGAGTCCCAAACTGGGCTGACGAAACGGCTGTCCAGTACTTCCTGCAGGTTTTCCAATGGTTCTCTAACTGATGTCAGCTCATGATGAAATCCTCCAACCAATCAAATAAAATCCTTACAAAACCAATACTTGGAAATAATTAAGGCATGTCTTGGTCTTCCGATCTTGCCTTCGATATTCTTATGTGTCGCCCGTAGTTGGAACAATGCTGTCTAGATAAGTAAAAGGTGTCACTTTCCTTTAGATTTCTTACACTGATGGTGGTTGATGCATGTTTCTGTTGCTTACGTAACGTCATCACCTCTGTCTTTTCTATGTTCAACTTGAAGTTTTGTCTTTGTTGAGGAATATCTAGCTTGGTTGTTAAAACATGCTGAAGATGACTATTTCTATCACGACTTGCCTAATATGACAAAGTATCAGACATAAAAAAATTGTTGGAAAGAAGTGAATGAACAAAGATGGATTTTACATTAAAAAAAAACCACCAGAAAATCCAAGGGTTAAAAATGTGTTTCTTTCCTATGTCACATACCAGATTAGCCACCTAGGACATTCTGAAAAAATCTTTGCAGGAAAAACTTTTTGATCTTGAGTATGCCGACAACATCTAGATGTACGATGACGTACAGACTACTCGAATCTCACTTAATCGTTCATCCTTTGCAAGTATTGTACGTACTAGAGACAGCGACCGACTGTAAAACACTGTTGCAAGATTAGCATGAGATGCCTTACCATCGGAAGTAGGCAAACGTTTCGTTTACCTCAGTAGGTGGTCGTTAAGGTATAATAAATGAAATTTCAATCGTATATACAGTAGGTTACAACTCAGTCCGCGTCACCTCTTACACTGGCACAATTTCAGTTTGACTGTCACAAGTCGGCTTTACAACGCTTCTGTGTGTGCACCCTTACTATACAGACGTGAAAATGTGTAGTAAATTTTGTCTTCCATTGCCACCACCTGATGGTGACAGCGTTTAAATGATCATGGGGTCCAATGGTGAGAACTCCATACAAGGTGGAAATCAACTTTTAAGCATATCATCCAGGAGGCTTCCATACCGTTTACTGGCAAAAAGTAGAGGTGATGCAACGGTAGGAAAGAGGCAAGTGTTAGGTTGACATCCTTTTGTAAATCCTAACTCCCTAGATGAGGTACGAGAGATAACCAGAATCAATGGATCCAGGCATTGTCAGATATGGTTTAGGCATCAGAAATCAACGGCTAATATACTGCAATTCGCGAGTTTTTTTCTACTGTCGAACGTAGTAGGAAGTACCGAACCCTTCCTTGAATGCCAACCCAATTCATTCAGTTATTTTACAACTATTTATCCTCTTATAAGTTTCCAGACTGTAGATGTTACGAATTTCCTCGAATAATTTGAGCGCAGAGTCAGACTGAGTCATTGTAAATTATTTAAAATAATCCCAACGTGTTTAAGAAAAAATCAAAACAAGATTTTTCTGAACGTTTCGCTGTGTAAGCCATGAAATATGAACTTGAAAACATTCAGGAAATATTAGCTAAATCCTCTTTATCAATAGAAGATGGAACAGATATGCAGATGATACATTTATCATCATTAAGAAAGCTGAAAAAGACAACTTTCTAACACAGATTAACTTAATTTCAAAATATATAGAGTTTACTAATGAAGTAAAATCGGCTGAGGAAACTCTGAACTTTCTGGATTGTCTTGTAAAAAGACAAACTGACGAGAAACTAAAGTTTACCATATACAGAAAGCCGACACATTCCAACAAGTATTTGAATTTCCAATCGGATCATCCAATAGGAATGAAAGTTTCAGTAACTTTAAATCTCGTTAACACAGCTAGAAACATTATAACAGATAATGATGATATGGAGAACGAGACATCCAATATAAAACAGATTTTAGTTGGAAATGGTTATCCGGAAAAGCTACTAGATAATATTATCAATAAAAAGGAGCAGAAGGAAAAAATGGAAAAATCTTGGCTATCAACGATAGCTATTCCATAGTGAAAGGAGACAGCTGAACAACTTCAAAGACTATTTGTTTCATATAATATTAAAGTCTATTACAAGCCCTCTAAGTCTCTAGAGAAAGCTTTGGTAAATGTCAAAGATATGGTTCCTAAAATGTTACAAAGTAATTGTGTTCTATACGATAAAATGTTCACAATGTGAAGCTTGCTATATAGGGGAGAGCGGTAGACAGGTGAAGGTCAGAGTGAATGAACATAGACTATGCACAAAACGTCCACCTAGAAATGGAGTAGAATTAAAATGTCTAGAAAAAAGATCGGCTATAGCAATGCATGCGATAGACAGCAGACATAAGATTGATTTCGACAATGTCGAATTTCTAAGAAGGGACTTTCATTCACATAAAGAAAGGTTGACCTCTTAAGCCTTGCATATTTTAACCACAACGAATGCAGCAAATAGGAGAGAAGGGATAGACTTATCACCTATGTGGCAAACTCTAATGAAGCAAGACAGATGAGAAAAACAACAAAAACCTCAATGAACCTCCATGACGTTTAATAATGTATTATCATGTTTATCACATGTGAATTGATGTCTTTTCCATATGACAAATAACATACACTCACACAGACAAATATGCATAATGCCAATTTGACATTAGTCATTACAAATATATGATGACTGCTTACGTATTTCCTCTTGGTACAAATGTCTATCGACAAGTGACGTTCAAATGAACTGACTTCAATTAATGTAAAAAAATTTTGATTGTATATTTTGATGATTAATAAAAATCCGAATAAATCTGCTGAAGAAGCTGTGGCTTACACAGAGAAACGTTCAGAAAAATCTTGTTTTCATTTTTTCTTAAACACACTGCGATTATTTTAAATAATTTATAATATTTATCTTCTTGTACCGTTGTTCGACAAATTTGCCTGGCGCATTTTTGTTTAAATAATAGTAAATTCAAACTACTTTGGAATAAAATATTTAGAGCGAACAATTGTTTTCAATAAATTCTTCTTCAGGCTCTACAATTATAAATCCATTAATTTAAGCATACAATAGCCAGTAAAGGCAAATTAGAATCATTTCAGAAAGTGTATTGTGGAACAAGTATAAGATGGGATGGAACAACAGTCAGTTAGTTTTTTAATATGCATGGTCAATGAGAACATGGGACAA